CCCGGCCGGGGGGCGGGAACGGGTCTGTATGTGGGATCCAAACCCTCGGGCGGGAGCGCCGCCGCGCTTCCCAAGCGGCGCACTTATCCAGTGCGCCACCGGGCCGGCCCGCAACGCCTTTAACCTAGCAATGCCACCTCTATGAATTCACAAACACACACTATATATGACATAAGAACAGAGATTTTCATTGTGGCATTGTTTATAATAGTAAAAGACTTGAAATGGTCTAAAGCACCATCATTTGCAGACTGGTTAATAAACTGTGGTACATCCACACAAAGGAATATTAAACAGCCATAAGAAAAGAATAAGTCATATCTATATGAAATGATCTCTAAGGCCTATTGAAAAGTGAAAAAGCAAGGTGCTGAGTGAGGCGAGAGATGTACATAGTATGTACATGCATAGAATATTTTCTTGAAGGATTAAAAAAATTGGTAACTTCATTTGAATTTTTACTTTTGGTAAAATACGTATGGTATGCCACTTTTCAATTTTAAAAGTTATTAAAGAGAAAAGCTCATAAAATAGTATATTGTTATTTTAAATTTGTTTTTCTTTAATAATAAGTAATGTCATTTATTTATTCAATGTATTTGCATTTCCTTTTCTGTGAACTACCTGTTCTTGTCCTTATCCATTTTTCTTTTGGGTCGTTATTTTTTATTGATATGCAACAGCTTTTAAGATAATAAAAAAATTAGCCCTTTGACCAGCATGACCCAATTTAGATCACTCAGACTAGAGAGGGCCAGAGAAGGTCACCTTCTCCTCTCCCTGTAGCAGTATGCACTTGCCTGTAGTTCAAACTATCTAGGAGAGGAGCGGGGCAGTCTCCCTGCAACTGCTCTTTTACTAGTTCTTGTCCTTCATTCTCAAGAAGTCCTCCCTTATCTTTAAGCTCAGTCCTTCACATGATAGGTTCAATTCATTTCCTCTTTCTCTTCTGTGAAATATTCTATAAAATCCCTTCCAGGACTTCAAGTCTGTGATTCATTTAGAATGTAAGAACTTACTCTGAACAAGATTGAAGATATGAAAAGACATGTAACTATAACATCATGTTGGAATGTGCCTTGCAGAAGT